CTCATCACCGTCCAAAGTTTATCGCACGGTCACAGTTGTCCAGTAGTGTTTTAATTTTCATTTGTTTTTTCTACAAATCATAATAATCTTAAATTTGGAGTGTGTGTTCATAAAAAATAGAAGAATCTAATAACAATATAAAAATAATAATTCATCAAATATAATTTGACCAAAATACCCCTGAAAATTTATGGGGTGATTTTGGTCAATTTATATTTTACAAAATATTATTTCATATTTTTATTAGGTGCACCTCACGAAGATGTACATTTTTATTAGGTGCACCTCACTAAGATGTACATACGCTCCAAATTTCAGATCATTCCGATTTATAGAAAAAAATGAAAATTGAAACACTACCAGACAATCATGATCGGGCGATGAACTTTGGACGACGATAAACATAGGTGAAATCACTGTTCATTTTCACTTATAGGCGTTGGGAAGAGTTATATATATATATATATATATATATATATATATACTTATTCTGCAAGATCACTAGTGAGAAATGCATATTTGACATCAAGTTGATACAACGGCCATTGGTGAACAACAACTATATAAATCAATATGCGAACTGTAGTAATGCAAACAACATGATAAAGTGTTTTAGCAAAATCAATCCCAAATTGTTGATTATAGCCTTTGGCTACAAATTGTGCCTTATGACACCCATCGGCAGCCAATGGCTTTTTTATCTTTGAGAAGATGATCAAAATCCCAAACATGCATTCTATCAGAAGTAGTCAATTCTTCTACTATGACATGTTGTCACTCAGTCTATTTAGTAGCTTCCTCGTAAATCTACAGTTCAGAATAAGAATAAACAAAGATATAAAATGCACGATGCTTATGTGAAAATCTTTCATAATAAACGAAATGGGCAGGTAAAATAGGGACATGAGTACTACGGCAGACAAATGTTGTTTGGACAAGAGCAGCAAATGCAGATGCTTGAAGTGGTTCATCTGCAGTAGTAAAGCGTAATGTAATCAAACCATCTATATGAGATATGGATGAGGTTGTAGACACGGGTGAAATCTCATAAGAGAAAGGAACAGGAAAAAAGTGAGCCCGAGGAAGAGATGAATGAAAATGAATATGCTAGAAAATACAAGAGGTGGGGACACCAAAAGTTTATTAATTACAATGTGGTAATATCTATATCCCTTATGACGGTTGGGATTACCCACAAAACAACATTTAACTGCTTTTAGCTGACACTTTTGTTGGGTTTTTGTGGCCCTTAAAGGCCTTATAAGTGATTGTAAAATGAAATGATATAGTAGAACATGAACTCAGTGGGAGTATGGTCCCTCGTGGATCATACTAAGCTAATGATGTTTGCAAATACCAATCTGTGCTTAACGATCTAGGCCAGTCGGTTGGGAAAAACCCATGTTACTTGGGCATGAAGAACAAACCGATGAGGGTTTATGGGTTAGCCCTTGATGAGGTCAGATAACATGTCCGAATGAGTGAGATGAAGGACTGTGTGACCCTTGTATGTGATGGTGATCTACTGAAACAGGGGTCAAAACCTCATATATGTTCCATCACATGGCATGCATATTAATAGATCGTCTGAGAAAGCCAGATATCCACCGTTGGGTGAAGCGTATGCATGTGCGAGAAATACCCTTATGCGCCATAGAACTATGGTCGCATCAGGTCGTGGTGACCTTGACTCATCTTTAGGGGCAGGACATGTAATCCATAGACTGGGATTATGACCCCTTGGCTCATCCGCTAGACTTTAGTGATCCGGTAATGAGCCCCTGCTTGGACTGTGGGTCATGGGAAACACTGAGTCAGTCCGATAAACCAAGTGTAGTCTGTAGTTCACAGTTGAAGGTGGAGTACCCCATGATTGTTGATTCCTAAACCATATGGATATTTTTCCCTTCAAATTAATTTAATTGTGTTTGTTTTATAATGGAAATTATTTTAAGATTATTATTTGAAATTTTATGAACCCTTAGATATTTTATTTATAATTTTTGGATTTATAAAATTAAAGACATTTATTTTACAATTGTTTAAATATTCAAATAATATTTTAAAATTCATTTATTAATTTTAAATATATAAAAATATTACGGGGGCCCATTGTGCACATGGCCCCCCTATATTTTAGAAGGTAGAGCCCATGAGTGCCTCCCTTGGGTGGCACGCCCCACCCTTATTCTCTTTCCTATTTTTTGGTGATATGGCATGTGGCCATATGGTTAGAAGATATTGATTAAATATTGACTTGATATATGTTTGAAAGATTTTGTGGAAAGATTGAGTAAACTTATGTTATTTTATGGTATGCACAATATTTTGATTAAATTTAATTTATTTAATTTATATTGACGGGAAAATAGTTTAGGAAAGAAGGATAATGGTTCATGCACGTTCCATAATGTTGAGGACCCATTTATGGAATGGTTGGCTCAGATCTTTCATCCCACAAGTCACCCTGATCGACAGTCTGTGTTCAATCTCACAAGAAGAGACAAGCCAAAGAAAACCCTAATAAACTCTAATCTTATTCAAAGCCTATAAAAATGGATTGTCTCTACAAAAAAATCTGTACACCTTATATTTCTATTTCTATCTCTTCAAAAAGTTTATCTCTCTTATGTTTGATCTTTCTCTCCCTTAATGTGAAAGAACTTAAGGGTTTAGGTTATGTGGGTATTCTCTCATATCTCTCAAATATGGATTTAAGGCTAAGGGTTTTAGGGTTTAGCAAAAAAAGAATCCATTTCTCTCAAACTATGTTGCTAAAAGAATTCACCTAGGAGAATTCACCTAGGGTTTGAGTTTGTGATCAACGGGGTTTATATTCCAATGGTGTGGCTTGGCCGAAATTTGCTTTCTCGGTTCGAGATTGCAGCTAGACTGTTGATCTCACGCCATCGGATGGTAGTGACTCGATGTGGGGTGTAATAAAGCCGATTGAGGTAATCTCGGGCACCCTTTTTTTTGTTTATTGCAATCTTGTATTTTATTCTCAAATATAGTGCATAGTTGTTTCAATGATATCAAATTATTGATATGTTGATTTTATTTTTTATTCTCAAACATAGTGCATAGTTGTTTCAATGATATCAAGTTATTGTTATGTTGATTTTATTTTAAAACTTATCTTATTATAATATAGACTACATGTAAATGATATTTTGTCAAAAACAATAAGTGAAAAAATAAATAAAAAATAAAATAAAATAAATGTATTCTCAATGAAAGATCACATCATAAGTCTTTCTTTCAACTTTGTACGGCTTAGATATATATATATATATATATTTATTGACTTACATTGAAAAGCTCAAAATTACAAAGAACGAAGAATTGAGTTGTAGGGGCCGTCAAACAGCTTGATATGATCCACGTACCCAAACAAGTGGGGTCGATCCCCATACCCAAAGAGCCGACTTGTCGGGCCCGTAAAGTGACCCGTCGACTTGGCCGAGTGCGGTCGTTACGAATTTGGCTCGGGTGTGGGTCGAGGTCCGAATCGGTCTGTGAACAAAACATAAAACTGCTTTAACGGGGACTATAACCAGCGGAGTGGCACTCGCGGCTTAGGGCGGGAAAAGGAGAGCGAGACTGGTACAGTGGTTAGGGCGGGCGGGAAAAGGTGAGAGGGAATGGCGAAGCCAACGGGTGAGGATAGAGAGAGAAACGAAGGGAAGAGTAAGAAGAGGAAGACAGAGAGATCACCATCTCCTCCAACTCTCACCATCGCTCTACCTGGCTCTATCATCCGCAACGCCCAATCTCTCGAGCTCGCCACCCTAGTAATTCATTAACCCAACCACTGCATCTCTCGAACTTTTCATCGTTACATCGCTCGGTTAATGATCCTTGCTGCGCGCTCCCTCTCTGTTTCTTTCTCTTATATATCTCATGCGCATACTCTATTGTCCTTCTTTCTTTCACCTAACTCTCTCTCTCTCTCTATACCTATCTCTTGATCATTGATTCTCTGTATTCATCTCAGTTGGCTGGTCAGATAGCACGGGCGGCAGCCATTTTTAGGATTGATGAGGTAATCTCCCATCCTTTCTTAAATTTGTAGTTTCCGTTTCGATTAATCTCGTTCTGGGTCTATTATATTTCAGCTCTTGCCATTGGTTTCTGGAATCAGAAGCCTTGGATTTTTAGCTGGGGTTCACTTCAGGCAAATATGCCTTTTTCTGTTTTGTACGTGTGGAAAATGCTCTAGACTCTGCATGATGAAGATCTATGTTGTTTTCTTTTTCAAACTTGAATTCTGGTGTCATGTTTCTGTTTTAATGGTTGATTTCATGTTTTTCAACTTGTGTTACATGTTTCTACTGGTGAATAATGAACCTTCACTATATGGTATTTGGTTTTTTTGCCTTGTTGTTACAAATGAAAATGGGTTTCCCTATTCCATGGTTAGTGTGACCCTCAGTATAAAATCTATACTCTGTATTGTTAAAAAGCAATGTCATGCTTAGGCAATACTACTGGTTGGTTTCCATCAGTTAGGAACAATGGATCTGTTGAGATAGAATATACTAATTCATGCATGGATTTTCATTTTCTTGTGAGTAGGTAGTAGTATTTGATGACAAAGAGACATTATCCAAGGATTCTGGTTCAACTTTACCGAATGGCGATGATGAATATTCAAGTGGGGCGCCATTCCTTGTTAAAATTCTTCAGTATCTCGAGACACCCCAATATTTAAGGCGTATCCTCTTTCCCAAACATGGTAGCTTAAAATACGTGGTATGGATTTTATTCCTTCTATAGCATGGTTTTTTTTTCAGTAAAGCACTAGTTAACATTATCAAGTATTTATTTAAAAGCTGATGCCATTTTGGTCATTGTTGTTAGGGTTTGTTGCCCCCTCTTGATGCTTCTCACCATGTGAGAAAGCATGAATGGTCGGAATTTAGAGAAGGTAATTCTATTTTAAATATCATTATCTGATGCTTACTTGAATTGCTTGATTTTCTTTTTTCTTTCAAATTATTCTATGAAAATTAGGTGTGTAGTATATTATTTTAAATCATTTTCTTTGATTTTTTTTGCATGGAATGCTTTCTTTTGATTCTTTGATATTGATTCTAAGTTGTTATTAGTGGTTGAACCTGAAGTTCTTTGTTATTTATTTATTTATTTTTATGTTAATGGTAGTTAATGTTCAAGTTGATACATGAGAAAAATATCACAGGCCATGATGGGGAGACAACCCCTGAATTTTGTTTCATTTCTCGTGCCTTATGTATTGGCTAACAATATAGTTAATATCATTGTTTTGTTCTCTGTCCTTATATATTGCATCTATTTCTGTTTTCTATGAAAACCAAACTTCTGAACGAGACATAAGACCTTTGCATGGTATCAAAATTTTAAATGTGGAAACCAAGTCATGATTTTGATGACATTTTCACTAAATCTCTTCTTAAAAGCCAGCATACCTTTTCCATGGCTGAGCTCCTAACCCTTGATCACTTTCTCTTGCTTTACCGGTAATGACAAGGTTCAAATGTAATTGTTATAATATGTAGACATGATCTCTTATGTATAATGCTGTACTTTTTTACTAGGAGTATTACTTTTGCACCAAAGCAGTCAGTGTGTCACCAAATTGAATAGTTTCCTCTCTCTACTAAAGATAATTTGTTTTACAAATGTCTTGATGTGGGTGTTTTCTTGTTTGATTGGTATTTAGAAGATATCAATGTACAATTATAGTGTCCTACTTGTTCATTTCTCTTAAATGAGTAATGTTGTAATTGGACATTAGGGATATTGCCTTTGCGCTTTTTATATTTGTCTATCCAAAGCACTCAGTTTGAGAATACTTTATGGAAGATTCGGGAATGGAAATTATAGTGGATGTTGCCATGAGAATCTTTTATGCTTCATATATTTGGGGCTTTAAATTAACTTCTCCTGTTATTTACAGATATGAATATAATTTATTTTGCAATTATCATGATGTAGAAGATATCCGTGTGCAACCTTGCTGACTATTTTTCTGAACATGTGGTCATTGCTTTGACCTGTTAATGCACTGCACAGGTATAACCATGAAAGCCAAATCCTCAATATCTGCTGGTACATTAGTTGATGTTGGCTTAAGCAAGGTATGGGTCTTGAATACCAATGAGATATTGTTTGTCCTATTGTCTATAGTAGATTGTATTGATTTCATCAAGATCTTAAGGCTGAGGAGGTTGAGTTTAATATAACAAATGATGGTGGAAAACTTGTGTATCTTTCGAATGATGCATGACTCTTCAATAATATTGAAAAGTTATTTGGCAAGAGAACATCTTGTTCACCATTTTGAGATCCATATGATGGTTCTTCATAGCTTATCAAGAGTAGACTATTTCTTTTGTACATGTTTTGGATGATTTACTTGTAGGCTAATGATGGCTATAAAGAGTTTTTGGGTTTAATTACAAATTTGTCACTCTATCAGTTTTGAAGTTACATAGATCATTTGTCTAGTAAATGTCATGAAGTGCATGTTCAATATTGCAGAAGGAAAAAATAACTGGTGCCATTCACTTGGCAGCATCTAGTTTTGAAGTTCTGATGCACCACTCCTATTGGAGCATTACAAGACCAACATGGCTAATAGGTCTGTAATACTTACTGTCCAATGCATCTCGTTCAGGTTTTAGATTATGATAAGTTATCCATTCCTAGTGCCATTACTACATGAACTTGTAATTCGTCAAAATCTTGCATGGGATCACCAACTTTTAGCACATGCCAAAGAAACTTGGATTTTTTATCTCATTCTATTTTATACTCTATGGTTACGGTTTCAATTACTGGATCAGGCCTCATAATTCTTTGCAAGGTAGTGGAAAAGTAATTTAGTAAGGTTAAAGGGGTAAAAAAATGCAATGATTTTTTTTACAAGGGTTTGATTTGTATACAGCGCCAACCTTAAAAAATCAAAGTAACGCACGCCTCTAAATTGTGCCAAAAGATGTAGTTCTATCTCTGGAAACCCCTGTGGTGGCCTAACAATTTGTTTTTGCCCCTAATCATGAAATTTAAAACTCTAAAAATGGTGCAGATGAATGCTTAACATTTTTTAAAATGGACGGTCCAAATAATGCGCTACAAGATCCACTATTTTCGGGACTTGAAATCATTTCTTTCCCCATATTCATACATCTTGAGGTCAAGATGATCAATTGGAGGGTTAGTGGCATCGCAACATTATTTTTTAGTGGGTTTTGAGGTGTGCCTTACTTCTGCAATATATGGATGACACCTTACTTTTTCCTTTTTATAATTACACATTCTGTCAATATTTGTGATAATTATGATCCTTGATTAGCTAGAGGCGTTGCAGAATAGCAACAGTCTCTCTAAGGACAAAGTCCTTCATTATGTGTAGCCATTTCTTATCTAAAACATGACCCCTCTTTAACTCGCATTCTTGCACTCAGACACTGCTGATATGCGTCTTTCGACAATTACAATATTCATTTGAGCAATTACTAGAGCACGTATTATCAATCTGTGGGCCTTGTCTGCCATAGTCCTCCATGTTATTACTCTAAGTAGGCCATGACCTTTTCATTGGTAGCTGTAGAGAAAGAAAAAGAACTTATCATATAATAATTATGAATGTTATATGTACTGAAGGATTGATTAGGAAAAATGGCCTGCGCAGGAAGTCATGGTCGAGCAAGTTCTCGAACCCGGATTACGAGTAACTGTAAACATGGGGAGTGATCGACGTCTCGAATCAGGTAATGAAGAATGACCTTGATTTATGTTTTTGGGATTTTTTTTAGATTCTATTTTTAGATGTGAAGAACCATTGTTGTAAGATTTCATGGTAACTTTGTCTGCTTAGTGAGTAATTCATTTTATTGCAATAGTCGATCTTCTTTAATTGATCCTTTAGAACTTGTGATGCAAAGTTGGTGATGCAAGATGTGTCTTATTTTTATATTTTCTTATTAAATTTTAAGGATGTTTTTTTGGAATTTTCTAGGGTTATTTTTTGAGGGTTTTAAGTTCTTTTAGGGATTCTAGGATTTTTTATATTTTTTAAGATTTTAGAAGATGTTTAGAAAAGTGATTATAATACTTGTGGAGATGTTTGTTTTATTAGGGTATAAGTGACATTACGAATTCTATTTTAAGTGAAGGGACTTATGGGGTATTTTTATATTGTTTTAACTTAATTGGGGTAGTTTTGGTCATTTTTTATCATAATGTAATAAAAGGAGCTAGGGTGTTAGGTTTTATGACACTTTTGGAGCCTGAACAGTAAAAACCGACTGCGAGTAGTGCTAGCAAACCCTATCTGGGGTTTTGGGGTCACTTTTTTGTGCAAGGAAAGCCATCCACTCAAATATGGTTTATTTTGATGGTTATTGAATTGTTTTGGGCATTTTTTATCTATTTTCCTGCATCAAATTGGTATCAAAGCAAGACAAGATGTGTCTTATTTTTGAATTTTTCTATTAAATTTTAAGGATGTATTTTTTGGAATTTTCTAGCATTATGTTTTTTGGGTTTTAAGTTCTTTTAGGGATTCTAGAAATTTTTTTATATTTTTTAAGATTTTAGGAGACGTTTAGATAAGTGGTTATAATACTTTTGGAGTTACTTGATTTTATAAGGGGTACTTTTGGTTTTTTTATCATGATGTAATAAAAGGACCTGAGGTGTTAGAGTTTTCGACACTTATGAGTGTGAATAGTAAAAACAGGATGTGAATTTCTAACCCTTATGGGGTGTGAACAGTAAAAATAGGCTGTGAATAGTGTCAGCAAGCTCTATCTAGGGTTTTATGGTCACTTTTTTGTGAAAGGATAGCCAGATCCACTGAAATCTGGTTTGTTTTGATGGTTATTGAACTGTTTTAGGGCCTATTTTCTCAATTTTCATGCATCAGTTGGCGTTTAAGGAAATTCTTGTGAACAATTTGAGTTTTAGGTGATATGTATGTCAAAATGAAAGCATCATCCCCGCATTGAGGGCTCTTTTAATAACCAGCAACATGGAGAATTTTTGACACAAAATGGATATTGGCACGATTTTGTACCCCAGGTGGGAATTGGGACAATGGCACCACTGATTCTACATTTCCTTATTGAGGACAATTTTGCTTAAGAACGTCACTTGGTAGCTACTTCTTATTATGAACCTGAGGTTGTGGCTTAGAACCAGGCTAAAATACCAAAGAAATTGTATGAAAGAGATTAAAAAGTCAATTTAGCAAACAATCTCAAAGAGCTCGTGTTCTTTTCATTCTATATTACACCCAAATTAGCTAATCTATCATCCAGATAGTATCTTCAACACATTTAGAAGATGGTTTTTTTATACACAGATTTAAGAGTTTTAAGTCCAAAAAATCTCTGGACAAGTTTTGGCCATTCAGCATGGAATTGTGCAGTACTTTCTAAGCCATCTAATTATAGCTCACAATCACCTTATTGCAATGAGCTAGGCAGAATCTCATGAAACGAATTTCAAAATGAGAAGGGTTTGGCCTTCTTCCCTCATTGAATACACTATACTGAGGGTACCTATGTAATGTAAATATCCCCTCTCAAACCCTAGAAGGTCCTACTGAAATTTTGTTCTGCTTGGGTTCCCTTTGGAGCTTTCATCAAATTTAAGCTTAAGCATGGGAAGGGGGTGAATAAATTTGAAAAACCTTCAGATAAGAGTAGAGGAACTGTTAGGTGATGATTTGAATTGCAACTAGCTTCAGTTGCTAAACTGCTTTTAAACATCAATACTCAATATCTAACCAGAGGTATAAATATATTCTTATAACTAAAAGAACGAAAGGAATGACTGGAGGCCGTATAGACTGCACTATTATTTTCCTCGAGCATGAGCAAAGTCAAAGATTATTTGTGCTTGGTGGCATTTCACTATTCCTGTACAAGGTTTTAATGGTTTGCAGTTTGTTTTGCTCTTACTATGACTAAACTGTGTTTCAGATTGCCTGCTTAAAGTAGTGAGCTCTTCTAAGCCTAGAGAACTTGGACACTACTGGGGTTACAGAGTTCGATATGCATGCAACATTAGTTCTGCCTTCAATGAATGCCCTTATGAGGTATACAATTTCATGTTCTTTCTCTTTTGGTGAGTTTGTAGCTTTGTATTTTAATATTATGTTATTCTTTTTATTGCATTTTATTTATATCGTAGTTTCATACAAATATAGGGTGGATATGATCATCGAATTGGAACCTCAGAGCATGGTACCATCATTGATTCATCAGATCTGACTATTCCATCTTTCAGGTATGTAAAAGATAAAGATGAATGACATTTTTTTTTGAATGTTAACTGTTAGTAGTGTGTAATTTTTTTTTTTGGGGGTTAACATTGGTAGGAATGGAGACGTAGACCGGTAGCTGAGTCACAGGCTCTGCTACCATCTTGACCTCAACCCAATTCCTGATAAATATGGATGACATTCACTTAAGTAATCCTGCATTCCTGCTTATTGATTCCCTTGAAATTGTATTGCTCCACTTTTATGTTGTGCTTCCATTGTACTTTTCACTGTCATTTACTTGTTTAGTCATTACTTCCATGACAAAAGAGATCTGTTTTTGTTTCATCTATTTCTTATTTCTTAATATTTGATTTTGCTTATTGTAACTTTTTTTACCATTTTTCTTTTCATTTTTCATCTTACGTTACTACTTTGTGGGTCTTATACTGCCTTATATTTGAATGGGAATGCATTTGTGGTGATTGAAGCCATCATAGTTAGTTAGATTTTTTCATTTCTGTTACAAGATTTTAGTGGTGTATTGTAAGTGTTGGCATTTTTTTTCAAGAAAAAGAAACTTTAGAATAGTTTCTGTGGCTTTTTTTTTTAAGTAATGAATTAGTCTGTGTTATTTTATGTAAATTGGTTTCAGTATATCGTTCACATTTCAGGCATTTATTAATTGCATTTGGTGGACTTGGTGGTCTTGAAGAGAATGTTGAGGAGGATACAAACTGTAAGGTATTGGTTGTTTCCCCATCACTGCATTTTTATACCTTGTTTCATGTGAAAATGACCTAGTTCTAATGGCTATGAACTTCTCCTCTCACTTTGGTTCCAAGACCCTCGCACTTGTCCATCATCTTAAGAGAAATGGAGAAGGAAAAGGCTCAACTTTCATTGCATTTGACTCCAGGGAAATAGATAATTAATTGGATGAAGGAAGACCCTCAGGTGTTGAGGAGGATAACGCTCTTCCTTCCTGACAAACTATTCTTGGATAAACATTCTTGTGCTGCTAACTTTCTTCCCCATGGCTGCCTAGTGAAAACATTTTTTCCGTTGGTTTTAGGTTTGCTCGGAGTTCTTTTATAGAGAAACAAGTGTCTATCAGAAAATAGTCTCTAGGAGATAGAAAATCTGTATGTGTGTGCGCGAGAGAGAGAGAGAGAGAGAGAGAGAGAGAGAGAGAGAGAGAGAGAGAGAGAGTAGTAGTAGGTACGGTACGGTACGTACGTACGTACGTACGTACGTACGTCGTACGTCTACTCGTACGTCTACGTCTCGTACGTCGTACGTACGTACGTACGTACGTACGTACGTACGTACGTACGTACGT